GGCTGTTCTCAGAAAAACTAAACCGTGTCGGATCTGGCTAGAACTGGGATGGAAGCACATCAGGGAATCACAGGCTATAAGCTAAACAAAAAATCCCAAACAACCTGAAATAAAGCAATGGAAAACCACCGGAAGAGCTGCCAAGAAAATTAAATGGATGTGTTCAGGAAGTCCCCAGCAGTCAAGTTCACCTCAAAGGACGCTTTACTTAAAAAATAAAAGAGAGATTTGCTTGGCAGGAAGCAGTGGGAAAAAAAAAGAAGAAGAAGTGCTTTCTGTAAATCTTTTATTTGGGCTCTGTTTGGCTTCCCCGGCTCTTTTGATTCAGGAGATCTCATTTCAGCGCAGAAAATTCTTCGTTATTTTATTACCTTCAGTATCGTTACCTCTCCTACGGGGGAGATGGTGGCATATAAATTTAAGAAAGAAATAAAGAATCTTTAACCAGAGTACATCTGTCATGGAATGGGTGGAGGACCTTGGGAAACGAGAGGAAGAGAAGTTGGCTAGTAAACAATCAATGATTGCTCTTATCATTTAAAGGCGAGGGAATTGTAATTTATTCCTCAGAGATCTCTGACACCGGTCAATTTGGTCTTCCTAAGTTGCCCCTTCAGTATTTCTAGAGATGTTTTCGTATTAAGAATGCCCCATATTAAGTTAGCAGCTCCACAGTTAAAATTGATATTCTGTAGTTCCTGCGATGACAACAATTACTGAAATTCTCTGCCTTTGGCTACAAAAATAGCTAAGAGTCTCGGGACAACTTAAAACGAGCCAATATATTATTACATCAGCTTTTAAGGACTAAAATAACAGAGATGGAAGGGATCTTGGAGGTCTTCCAGTCCAACCCCCTGCTCAAGCAGGAGACCCCATATCATTTCAGATAAGTGACTGCCCAGTCTCTTCTTGAAAACCTCCAGTGATGGAGCAACCAATACGTCTGGAGGCAAGGAGTTCCACTGATTAATTGTCCTCACTGTCAGGAAGTTTCTCCTTAATTCCAGGTTGCTTCTCTCCTGGATTAGTTTCCATCCATGGCTTTTTGTCTTGCAGTCTGGGTGCTTTGGAAAATAGGTTGACCCCTTCATTTTTATAGGGGTCAACCTATTTTCCAAAGCAACAGAAGGCAAAACAGGAAACAATGGAAACAATGAATGGACTACAGGCAGTAGATGCAATCACAGCTAAGGCCAGGGCAAAACAGAGTTATAAGCATAAAACGTTCTCCGTATGAATAGACCAGTGATGGCGAACCTATGGCACGCGTGCCAGAGGCGGTACTCAGAGCCTTCTCTGTGGGCACACCTGCCACTGCCACGAGCATCTTGCACAGGTCCATTAGGCTGCCGCCGGCGCCCAGAGCAACAGCCCCACCCAGCACAAAGGCGAAGCGGCTGGCTAGCAAGCTGGAGTATAGGTAGTAGAGTAGGGCTTTTCAACCTTTTCACCCATTGTACCACTTTTAGGATATGGCAATATCCGAGTACCACCAGTCGCCTAACAAGGTGTCAAAAACTTGATGACCAAAAAAAAGGGAAAAAGTGATAAAGTACAGGTAGTCCTTGACTTACAACAGTTCGCTTAGTGACTGTTCGAAGTTACAATGGCACTGAAAAAAGGGCCCCCCCATGCCACAGCCGAGCAAGACACCTGCCTGCCCACCCGGCCGCGCTCTTCCTCCTGTCCGAGGTTTTCATTGTTGTGAGCATTTCTGTTGGGGATTGGCCGCAGGGGTGGTGGTGGTGGTGGTGTGTTTGGTTTTTATTCCTCCTGTCTGCTGGGTGGTTGCAGCAGGTTTTGGTCACTTCACATGACCCTGGGACACTGTGACCGTCATAAATATGAATCAGTGGCCAAGCATCTGAATGTAAATCACAAGACCCTGGAGATGCTGCAACATTCCAGCTGATCGGCTCTTCTTCTGGGCTCAGCAGAAGCACCAGGATCAGTGCTGCTTTCCAGCTGGATCCTGGCGCTGATCCTGGCGCTTCCACTGAGCCCTGACAGCCCTGCAGCTCCAGCCGTCTCTCGCTCAGGCTTGTGTGGTGCTGCCACTGGTTCAGCTCATTCCCCTCCCCCGCTACCACTTTTCTAGGATGGTCGCATACCACCTGCCAGGTGCCAATGTACCACAGGTGGTACCCGTACCACTGGTTGAAAAGCCCTGTAGTAGAGCACTCCCCCATGCACTCGCTGGCCTCTGTGTGCGGGGGCCGATGGTGTCAGGCAGCAGCCGCTCCTGCCTCGCCTTGCAGCAATGGCACCCCCACCGCACCCTGCAGGAAAAGCCTCCTGCCCACCACCCCACCCACAAGACCCCCTGGATCTCCCCCAATCCTGCCCAGCCCCCACAGGCGTCCCCCCCATGAGCAATAACGAGGTGGCCACGCCCACTGCAGCCATGCCCACCCAGTCTGCCATGACCACCACAGCCACACCAACCCAGTAGGCCATGCCCCCCGCTGGCCCCCCTGAGGGCACCATAATGCTGATGCGGCCCTGGCACTTTGCGATAAATAAGTGGGTTTTGGGTTGCGGTTTGGGCACTCGGTCTCTAAAAGGTTCGCCATCACTGGAATAGACTTTCAGAGAGAATGCTTTGGAAAACAAGACTTGACCATCACTGTACTTTTTGTTCCCAAGAGAGAAAGTGAAATGTAAGTAGAGGAGAGAGAAAAAAAGATCTCCTCTAACAGGAAGTAAAAATGCTTACCTAAGGCAGGTACCAAAGAGGAACGGCTTTGTTCAAAGCGTGTGGTCATCTGATTGGTCAACACGACCTGAAAGAAGCAAAAAAAAAAGGAGAGAATTTACATCAAATATAGGGAGTCCCAAACTTACACAACCATTCATTTAGTGACCGTTCAGAGTTACAATGGCACCGGGGAAAAAAGTGACTTATGAGTTTTTCACACTTACAACCATTGTATCTTCATGGCCACATGGTCAAAATTTAGAACGCTTGGCAACTCATATTTATGACACTTTTACTATCCGGGGTCATGTGATCAGCTTTTGTGACTTTCTGACAAGCAAAGTCAATGGGGAAGCCAAGATTCACTTAACAACCGTGTTATTAACTGAACAACTGCAGTGATTCAACTTAACAACAAGCCTCAACTCCCAGGATTCCCCAGCCAGCATGGGAGTTGAGGTCCACAGGATGAGAAACACTAGCTTAGAGTATAACAGCCCTTGTCACTGATTACTGGTCATGCAGCTAAGGCTTATGAAGTTGGATCCCATACAAGGAACAGTTGTTCGAATTGGGTATGTCTAGTTTAATGAAGAGAAGGACGAGGGGTGACATGATAGCCATGTTCCAATATCTCAGGGGCTGCCTCAAAGAAGAGGGAGTCAATCTGTTCTCCAAAGCCCCTGAAGGCAGGACGAGAAGCAATGGATGGAAACTAACCAAAGAGAGAAGCAACCCAGAACTAAGGAGAAATTTCCTGATAGTTATAACAATTAACCAGTGGAACAACCTGCCTCCAGAAGCGGTGAATGCTCCAACACTGGAAGTTTTTAAGAAGAGACTGGACAGCCATTTGTCTGAAATGGTATAGGGTTTCCTGCCTGAGTAGGGGGTTGGACTAGATGACCTCCAAGGTCCCTTCCAACTTTATTATAACTTTTGGAGAGCCACAACTTCCCCACCTCTGCCACAAGTAGATGTGATATGGCCACTTTCCCTAATAATGATAGCAATAGCACTTGAGACTTATATACCGCTTCATAGTGCTCTACAGCCCTCTCTAAGAGGTTTACAGAATCAGCATTTTGCCCCCAACAATCTGGGTCCTCATTTTACCAACCTTGGAAGGATGGAAGGCTGACTCAACCTTGAGCCGGTGAGGCTCAAACTCTGGACAGTGAGCTGAATTAGCCTGCAATACTGCATTCTAACCGCTGCGCCACCCCCAGACTTAACAATTGTCATTAAGAAAGACAAAAAGTCTGGATAGTGGACCTAGAGACAGGTGAGTAGAAGAAAAGTACTGGAGAAGAAAACAAAAATGCAAAGACCTGCAAGCAGAAACAGAGCCACTGTGGCAAAAGAGAGCAAAGGCAGGGCCACTAGTAGTAGGCTCCTTGGGTGCAATACCAAAACAAAAACTGGTGGAGAGAATTCTAGGGGCTAAAGGAGGTTGTGGGAACAATCCCACTAGTTTTCTGTCTGAGACATTTGATCATCTGAATCTTGACTCGTTCATCATTGCCAACATTTAGCAAACAGACCTCCGTCCTTGTACCAAAAGACTGCCATTTTTGAGTTATCTTAGCAGTACAAAATGTGCCCATCAAGCCCCCTATGTTGGTCTACCTGAGTCAGTAACTCAAAACAGGAACTACGAAGGATTTGTTCATCCAGCACATTATCTAAAGAATCCGATGTCAGCATCCAGTGCAGAATAACAGAATTGGAAGGGATCTTAGAGGTCTTCCAGTCCAACCCCCTGCTCAGGCAGGAAACCCTATACCATTTCAGACAATTGATTGTCCAGCCTCTTCTTAAAAATGTCCAGAGATGAAGCATCCACAGCTTCTGAAGGCAAGCTGTTCCACTGGTTAATTGTCCTCACTGTCTCCTTAGTTCTAGGTTGCTTCTCTCCTTGCTTAGTTTCCATCCGTTGCTTCTTGTCCTGCCTTTGGGTGCTTTGGAAAATGAATTGAGTCCCTCCTCTTTGTGGCAGCACCTCAAATACTGGAATGTGTTAAACTGGAGGGGCAGATCGATTAAACTGGGGTGCCTCTGAGTATTCTTAACTAGGGGTATTGCTGTCATGTACTACGTGAGGCTTCCCATTGGTAACACCGCTGCTGCGCGAGCTGCATTGGCTGCCGGTGGCCTTCCGGGTGCGCTTCAAGGTGCTGACCATCATCTTTAAAGCGCTCCATGGCATCGGACCTGGATATCTCCGAGACCGCCTCCTGCCGCAGATTACCCCCCATCGACCTGTACGCTCCCACAGAGTGGGTCTCCTCAGGGTACCGTCGGCTAGACAGTGCCGGCTGGCGACCCCAAGGGGGAGGGCCTTCTCTGTGGGAGCTCCCACCCTCTGGAATGAACTATCCCCAGAGATCAGGGTGATCCCTGATCTCCCTTCCTTCCGCCGCGCCCTAAAGACATGGTTATTTCAGCTTGCGGGACTGGCCTAGGGGAAAACTTTTAGAGGGGGTTTTAATTATAATTTTAATTAGACCAATTATGAATATTTCCCTTTTAATTAACTTTTAAATTCGTAGTTGATATTTTTGTATTTTTGTATTTTTATCCGGTTGTTAGCCGCCCTGAGTCCGCAAGGAGAAGGGCGGGATATAAATTTAAAAAATAAATAAATAAAATAAATTTTGTTTAGCCAGCTTGGGAAGTAAAATTTTAGGCTCGCAGACTGATCCACTAGGGCTGTTCTCCGTTGTCTTCTAACACTATCTGAGTAAAAACACATGGACAGGCTTATTTTTAGCAGCCCAGCAGTAAAAAAGAAATCCCAGCGTACATACAGAATCACGGCTTAAAGAGGAACTATGTTACCTGGAAACAGGAAATAAGTAACATTCCCGAACGTGCCTAAGCTTCATTCTGGAACAATCCTTCCTAACCTGGGTAGGCTGAAAAAAGCCCACCTATAAATAGCTGTAGCTCAAGCCTGTCATCCGTTGGCAGGAAGCCAGCTAGGACTGCAGCACCTCCAGGCAGAGGTCAAAGGAGAGGAAAGGCAGTTTGCTAAGGAATTTCTTCCACACCGTCTCTCAGCAAGACTTGTTTTCTCCTTACAGGATTCTGTCAGTCTGTCTATTATCTGCCTGTCCGTCTGTCTATCTCAAAGGTGCTTCTCCAAAAGGCAGCTGGACTTTCTTTATTTTTCCTTGAAGACGCTTCTCTTCTCATCCAAGAAGCTTCTTCAGTTCTATCGACCTATCTAGCCGTTTTAGGCTAGATAGGTGTATACATACACACAATACTCCTACTCTTCCTCCTATTTTCCCCACAACAACAACAATCTGGTGAGTTGGGTTGGGCTGAGAGAGTGTGACTGGCCCAGTCACCCAGCTGGCTTTCATCCCTAAGGTGGGAACTAGCAATAGCATTTAGACTTGTATACCACTTCATAGTGCTTTACAGCTCAAAGCGGTTTACAGAGTCAGCATCTTGCCCCCCCCCCCAACAATCTGGGTCCTCATTTTACCCCACCTCGGAAGGGTGGACGGCTGAGTCAACCTTGAGCCAGTCAGGATCGAACTCCTGGCTGTGGGCAGAGTCGGCCTGCAATACCGCATTCTTACCACGGCGTCTCCATGGCTCTTCTAGAACTCTCAATCTCCAAAGTCACCCGCCAGCTTTCACGCCAAAGGTGGGACTAGAACTCACCATCTCCTGGTGATTGGCCCAAAGTCACCCAGCTGGCTTTCATGTCTAAGGTGGGACTAGAACTTACTATATCCTGGCTTCTAGCCTGGTGCTTTAACCACTTGCCAGGGGTAGGCAACCTTGGCTCTTTTATGACTCATGGACTTCAACTCCCAGAATTCCTGAGCCAGCCATGCTGAGGGGAAAGGGAGAGGTTTCCAAGCTGAGCCATGCTGGCCCAGGAATTCTGGGAGTTGAAGTCCACGAGTCATAAAAGAGCCAAGGTTGCCTACCCCTGCACTAGACCAAACTGGCATTTATATTTATAAAAAAAATACAATGACAATCAAAAGGCAGGAAATCCTTAACCCACTTCAAACGCAGACAAGATGAGATTTATAAGAACAAAGGAATAGCTGGATTCTCGTATGTCAAGCTAGCGTTTGTTGAATCATACTCTGATGAATAAATAACTGGTTTTAAATAATATATTAAGCTAGACATTATGGTTTAACCGCCACAATTGACAGATTTATAGAACATGTCAAAAAATACACCACAGCGTGTTGCGTTGAATTTTCTGCCCAATGTTTAGTTCACTACTTCGAGTGTCACAAAGTTATACAGGTAGTCCTCGACTGACCACAGTTCGTTTAATGACCGTTTGAAGTTGCAGCGGCACTGGGAAAAGCGATTTATGACCGTTTTTCACACCTGCAACCACTGCAGTGTCCCCAGGGTCATGTGATCAAAATTCAGACACTTGGCATCTGACTCCTATTTATGACCAGCGTAGTGTCCCAGGGTCATGTGATTTCCCCTTTTGCGACCTTTGCCATGGAGAAGCCAGATTCACTTAACAACCGTCTGACTAATTTAACAAATGCAGCGATGCACTTAACAACTGTGGCAAGAAAGATCACAAAACGGGTCAAAATCCACGAAACGAATGTTTCGCTTAACAACGGAAATGTTATGGCTCAATTGTGGGTCATCAACCGAGGACCATTTATCGACTTAGCCACATATCTCCATTCTTCCTCAGACTTACAGCTAAGGTACGGTCATTTGCGATGCATATCAACTGTTGGGCCAGGCCGTTCAAAAGCCTTGTTCGCAGCGACAGATCTTCGAAGTCATGGCGGAAAGGAAAGGCGATTCCATCAATCACAATCAGCTGCACCTAAGGATCAGATATAAAACAGAGAGAGCT